AAAAAAAAAAAAAAAAAAAAAAAAAAAAAAAAAAAAAAAAACCCAAGTTGCAGTTCATACACTTTGCATAACCAATGCAACTTTACCCATACATTTATACACGCATACATATTCATGTGCATGAGTATGTATAAAACATGAAACTCATGCATGCATGAATAGCTGAAGGCTGAACAATTTATATACTCGTGTATGCGTATATATATGTATTTTTACTCGCAATGATGGGATTTTCAATATCGTTGCTGTTGTTATTGTTGTCGTTCGCAATAGAGCTAAAAGTATGAAGGGGAAGGGACAATTCTGTACAAGCATTATTTAAATTTTCACTTGAGGCACACATACAATCACACTGCAAACATAGACAAACGTACAGGCGCACTCATAAAATCCAAATGCATACGTTTATCGCAGAAGAAAAAACAACAAATATAATGTAAACGAAAAAAAAATAAAAAAATAAATAAAAGGAAAAAGATTTCTGCAAAATTGTCAATTTTCGTTATTATTGCATATACTGGCACATACACATGTATATATCATAAATATATATTCATATACATATTGATGCATACATACATACCCAAGAGTCATATAAACATTTATATATTCAACGTAAATTTTCCACTCCATAGGGATTTCCCACGCTAGTTACACAGACAATCACACGCTCACACACACACACACACACACACACACACACACACACATGCAATCAGATATACATATATACATATATATACATAATATTAATAATGTCATGATGCACAAGCTAAAGTGAAATTCATATATTCAACCGTATTCTCATAGCCAAATATATTCCATAATTTTAATATCCTGAACCAAAAAATTCATTCAATAATATATATATATATGTATATATAAGTTAAAAATATATACATTTCAGTGTATTGCTAACCCTTGCCTACACTTAAGAGCTGATTCTCTATTGATTGTTAAGCTCCAACCATCCTGATATAACTTGACATGATTTGTGTCAGTTTTATTGCCTTGTTATTACTATTTGTTTCTATATATATGATTGTGTTGGTGTAGAAAAATACCCAACTACTACACCAATCAACAAATACTTTTGTGTATTTGCAATTTTTATTCTATTCATATACCGGCCGAAGGGTATACTAATTTTACTGCATTGTTTTGCAAGACAGCCTCATATGCATATGGAAAAGAGAGCCCAAAGATAGCGTGCAAATAAAATTGTAATTGAATTTAGATCAGTCCATCTTACCCATTGTTAGCCGGTGCCCTGGCGAACACTCAGCTAGAAGCTAAACAATAGTTTACATGTAACAAAAAGATTTTTTAAAGTAAACAAAAACAATTTACAAACCGTATAACGCCTGCTTTCGGATGATAATGTGAAAGCCCTTGCATTAGGTTAATAAAAAATGGGAGGGGGGGGTGAGAGTAGAGAAGTAAAATTTTATTACGACTTACTGCCTACTACTACTGTTAGGATCATGATGAACAATTTTGACGTTGGCGACGTGTTAAACCATTTTGGATGTTGCATATCAAATTAGTGTGACTGCAAAAGTTAAAGAGCACAGAATGAAACTCAAAGTTGATGATAACTAAGGTGATAGTGGTTGTGATTGGAAGACTGCTTTTTAAGTAAAGACGGCGGATTGAAATTTATTATCTGATAAAATTAGCGGGCGGCTAGTACGCAAACCAAACTGTAAAGAGCACGAAGGTGGCTGCTTCGTCAATGACGTTCAAACTTTTCCATCCCACTAATAGGCGTAAAAAAAGAGAGACTGAAAATGATAAATTCTCTACTTTCCATCATAGGTGGCTTTTCAAAGCTACAATCTATCACAACCATTACGTCTAAACGTTAAAAATATTGAAATTTTATTTGCGCACTAGTAGACGCAGAAGTGATCCAATTACAATCATATTTATTCCCAAACCTTATCTATGCGTTTGATAGGCTGAATGACTGCAGTTTATGCAGACTGTAAAGTGATGAAAACTTTTGAAAACGTTTGAAAAATTTAGGTAGATAGGGGAATACATGCGAGTTATTCAGTTAACAAGTATCGCAAAGCCAATTAAATATAACTTTTTTTTTAAACATTTTTTCATTCCATCGACAAATGACATACATTCTTCAACAGCATTCGATTGATAAACTTGATTTATTTGTTTAGCGTCTGCAGTTGGAACGCCCACCATTGTTAAAAAAGTGAAAATGGGGCACTGACACTGGACATATGTACGCCTACTTAATGTGTGATCTCAGATCACGTGGAATTGGAACTTATGGCCAGTGAAAGATATTGCCGTCAATTCTCAATTTTCAAAGCCAGTTAAAAGACCAAAACAAACACTGGGTGACCTGTTGGGTGAATTGAAACCCATATCTTTAATAAAATATTTTATAATCATTGGCGATATTAAAGTTTCAATCTAAGGCGAATGTAATTTTTTGTGCTTAGCCCTTAATCTCATCGAAAGAAAAAATGAGTTTTTCTTCGATCTCGATCTATTTTTACTCCTATCAGATAAGTTTCAAAAATTACAAAACATTTGCTGGTGGGCCCATCGATGGTTGACGAAAACATAATAATTTTGCTCTCTTTCTTCAGATAGGTTTTAAAAAATGAAATACACAAATGCTCATCCGAAACTTAAGGACGCATACTGAACTTATCTCTAAAGAAGCCTGCATTCGATCGGCAATGATCACAATTTTATCATAATTTATGACCGTGAACGGGTCTTTAAATGTCTTAAGTTAAGTCTCTTTAAGTTGCAGTCAAATATCATATCCAAACCCGTGGCGCTCGGGGCATTAAAATGTTCGGTTTGAACCGAATGTAATGTTTTCTCTTTGCCATATGTATATATATATATATATATATATATATATATATATATATATATATGCGTGTCTGTGTGTGTGTGTGTGTAGGTTACAATTGCCAGTTTGCATTTATTTTAGCATTTGATTTGTCATTTGCTTTTGTGTTTACTCGTAATGCTATTTTCTGTATAGTTATACTCTGTATATGCTTATAACTGTATTGTGTTCGCTTTGCTTTGCCTGGGTTTCCGTCTGTCCGCTTGTTAGTCGCTGTCTTTCTCTCTCTCTCTCTAACTCTCGCTCTCTGTTTCTCTCTCTCTCTCTCTCTCTCTCTCTCTCTCTCTCTCTCTCTCTCTCTCTCTCTCTCTCTATCGCTCTTCTTTAATTTCTCTTTTTTGCTGTCCCTCCGCCCATTCTTTGATGTTATCTTACATGTTATTTTATTTTAAATTCAACTTGACTTTTATTTGTCTTGTTTAGTCAATTTTTTTTTTTTCTTTGGTGACACTTGTTTAGCTGTTGTTGTTGTTGATGTTATTGTGACAGCACTAAAAATATCAACATTAATTTCCATATTTTCTAGTGCAATATATCAAAAGGAATTTATATTTATGTTTGTCTTCTTTAACGCATTAAACTTTGTACGTTTTTTTCTTCTTTCTATTCTCTGCCTCTGCTTTCTATAGTCTTCAGTATTGTTAAAAACCGAAACTGACGTTACCAATAATGCTCAACAGGCGAATAGTAGTAATGCCGGTGGCGGTTCAGGCGGTGGAGGTGGTATTATAGCTACCTCAGCTCAAGGCACAGTTACATGTTCAGCTACCACCGCAACTGCAGCTAATGCAGTTAACTCAAGCCAAAGTCAGGCCATTAATGGCAACACAATAACCGGTGCAAATACTGGCGGTTCTGCCTCCGACACAAATGGCTCGAATGTCACAACGAACGGTATTGCAACGCCAGCACCGGCAGCATCATCAGCACCTGGTTCGGGCGATATGTTAATACCAACACAACAACAGCAACAGCAACAACAACAACAGCAGCAGCAGCAGCAGCAACAACAACAACAGCAACTGATAGCGATTAGTCAACAACAGAGTACGGCTGGTGGTCAGGCGACTACTTCGGTGACAGCTACTTCGTCTGCTACTGGCTTATTGCCGGCTGTGATCTCAGCTTCGACAAATGTGAGCGGAGTTGATACGTCGCCATCTCCATTGATATCCTCAAGCACAGCTCAAGTTATAGCCAGTATAAATGCTGCTGCCGCCGGTGGCATAATGACGTCGGCTTTACAGGCAAATGCAAATGCACCGTTAGCTAACAGTCTCACATCTGCTCTAGTCCCACAACAACAACAACAACAACAACAACAACAACAACAACAACCACAACAAACCACCTCTATTGCCGCCAACACACCGTCAGCCGCAACAATCGATGCCAAAAATCAACCGAAACGTTTGCACGTCTCAAATATACCTTTTCGTTTTCGTGATCCTGATTTAAGAGCCATGTTCGGGGTAAGTTATCCAAGTGCAACAGCAAGCGTACCACACTATCGGATAAAATAAATAAAAAATGTTCTCTTTTTCCGGTTTATAATCTTGTTTTCTACTTTATTTCTCTTTTTTTTTTTTTTTTTTTTTTTTTTTAACTTTATACGCTTAACATGCATCCTGCCAATTGTATGCTTTTTTAAATGGCTCGACTTTCTACTCTCTACGATTACTACTATTACTACTACTACTACTACTACTTATACTACTACTACTACTACTATTACTACTACTGCTATTACTGCTACTACTATTACCAACACCTTAATACTGCTACTACTACTACTACTGTCTCTCTTTTCTGTTATTTGTTTTTTCTATACTCGTTTGATGCCGATAAAAACTACTACTACCACTACTGTACTGCTGATGCTTCTTCCAATGTATGACTGGATGACTTGTATTCTTCCACATTATGTGTCTGTGTCTTGTGCATTGTTGTTGTTGTGTTATATTTGGCTCGCCTGCAGCAATTTGGCACCATACTCGATGTGGAAATAATATTCAATGAACGTGGCAGTAAGGTTTTTTTTTAATTTTTTTCCTCTTCCTCTTTTTTTTTTTTTTTTTTTTTTTTTTTTTTTTTTTGTTTCTCTTTATACCTTTTAAGAGGAAATATTTTCATAGACTTAAGTGCAAAACATTAAAAAAAGAAAAAAATAAAAAAAAAGTTTTTCGGTTATATGCTTACTTTTTCTTAAATAATGGACGCGAATACGAAACAAAACGGTAATAATTGATTTAAAGGAAAAAGGCCAATCCATATAAGTAATAGATGGAATCACTCACTCAGAACATCTGCTTAAGTGCTCTATATTAAACTACCTTTTTGGTTTAGAGAGTGAACATGCAAGACAAGCAGCCCTCGCATTTTCACTTATCGAAAGCATGCACATACATTATGTAAACTTTAATCACTTTGACGCCATGCCGCTTATAGTTTGTATATTAACAACACCCATCTACAATAGGAATTTTTTCACGAAGAGATCGTAAGTGCACATAAAGAGATTGAAAATTTTTCGAAAATTTTGGGAAAAGCAAATAATTATTGAGAAGTGTATGCATTCCTGATTACCATAACGTTTTCATACCGTACATGCGCATGTGTCCATCTACCTACCGATGAATAAAAGTCAAAAGGTCTTGATAATTGCTTTGTAATATTAAAATTTTGCCCATACGTTCTTAACGAGGAACAACGATTACGCCTATTGTAGTTAGTCAAGCGGAGGGGCTTTGCAAAAATTTAAATTTTCCATAGTTTTTTCATTCACAAGAGTGTCTTATTTTTATTATCTTCTATTGAAGGCATATCCGTTGAACAGTTAATTAGGTAAAAATTTTAACTACCAAAGCCGGTGTTCGCGGATTCACACCTAAAGTTCGATAGAGTTTACTTTGGGCTTCGCTGTAGTGAAGCGTAAAGCCAGGCATAAACTTGCCGATTGAAGACGCACAATCACTAGGCCGCGGTCACCGCCATAAACTCTTTCTCTTTTCTCACTTCTTTCGGCCAATCATCACGCTGCACGTATAGCCTGATGCATCGACCGTATATATTATAACGTAAAATAGGTTTCACCTCCTTTTGAGATTAAGTTCGTACCAGTGCATTGTGATTTTCTGAAATAACTTAGATGTCATTTACAATTCTGAGGGGATGCATTTACTATGGCATGGTTTGTTTACGACAGCTTATACATTAATGTTGCAATTCCTGCTCGCCGTTATGGTTCAACTTTCTCGACTCAAATGACTTTGCCTTTCCCCAAATATTCTGCTTTTATAAAGCCTTTTACAAGCAAGCCAGCAATACCTAGCTTCATTGTGACGTTTTTGTGTTAATCCCTATTTTATTATTTTTTTTTTTTTTTTTGTTCTTTTTGCGAAATTTTCTGCGAATTGTTGTTAATTTTTTCGACACTTGCCAGCTGCATGGGGCAGATAAAGCGTCATGAGTGCGTATTTGGTTTTAAAATTTTTCGAATTTCGTTTCTTAGGAAATCGGCTAGTTTTCATCCAACCTCATTTCATTAAATTAAATATGAGTTTTTCGCAACAATATATATATATATATTCGTTTATATATACTTTTCTATTCTTTCACATTGTACTCTCTCACATTTTAGTTTGTGAAAGTTTGCTATATAATCTTAGAATGGTGCACACATGAAACTCTCGTTCAGAAAGGACGCTTTTAATAACTAGACAAATGCCGCCGGCCTATGTTTTAATAAACTTGTTAATTAAACATCTTACAAAATAACTCGTACTGAAAGTTTCCATAAGTCGTATAACATAGAGTGATATAAACAGTAGAAATACTATTTTGTTTGTACACTTGTGTTGAATCGCTTGATAATGGCTCAAATTAAAAGGAATAAACATCATTTTCAATAAGTGAGCATTTGTCGAATTGAAGAATCGAAGCCGGGTAAACAAAGTCATTATCACGTGTAAAGATTACTTAGAAGCGAAACTTTTCATATCTATCCTCTTAAAGTGGATACATCAGATTAGGCATAGTACTGGACTTTCGAATTTATCGATCGACTGTAGGAAATACTTGTATATTAGAATTTTAAACCATACCACTAATTACATCTCATTTTTGTGCATAGGGTTTTTAAATAAAATTTTACTAATATATTTTCGAAATATCGGATCAATAGCGTATATATACTATGACATGTAAGTAATTATTTTCTGCATACTGCAAGCATAATTCCGACTACGAATCAAGCCAATTTTTCAAACTCAAAAATCAAACTAAGACGAATATGTGAGCAATTTTCATTCTCTCAGAAATTTGCGGTAATCAAGAGTTTACATTACATAATCTTTGACACGTCTTTGTGGATGTATTACGAATAGAACAGATAGATACATTAATCCGGGAGTGAGTGTTAACAAAAACGTTTTTTCTTTTAACACTTACAGCTCATGTGTTATGGATTTTATTAAAAGAAAGTAAGTTGATGAGGTTAAAATAGCATTTTTGAAATGTTATTATTTGCTTACCTTAACGAAAGGAAAAAGAGGAAAAAAAAAATGCATAATTAGATGGGGCGGACGACAATTCGAAGTGAGAAAAACGGGTTTAACACATCAATTACTGCTGGCAGACAGTGTAAAAAAAGACTTTAATTGCAAGAGGTGCTAAGAGGCGATATATACGAACATGAAGGGATTTTATATAAATACGTGTGTTATTCATGAATATTTTAGCAACAAGGTTTGAACAATAAACGATAATAATGACACTTCAATTTTCAACCTCAATTCAAATATACACATACACGCATTCGTTAAGTAAACATGCACGCACATAGTTATGCAATCATTTTAGCATACAAACATGAAAACATATATTGTTTTGCTTATCAGAAGTATTGTTAGGATATAGTTTAAAAACTAAAATTTATTTTAAAAAAAAATTCTTTTTTACGTCAATAGCAGTTTGGTTTTTATTTTCCTTTATTCAAATTTCTAAGATTCACTAATATTTTGTTGGATGGTTCTGCAAAGAAAAGTATAAACACATATATATATATATATATATATATATATACATCTACGATGAATATTGAATATAAATCTCTTTCATAGTTTGCCGTTCTCTGCTACCTGCACTCTGGTTACCTTTTTTTCTGTTTATATATGCTACTGAAATGAAAGTTCATTAAATATTCATATGTTTTCTAAAAAGATTCATAAGGTTTCGCAAAATGAAGAAAACTACAAGAGTGAACCATTCAAAGCACGCCCTTAATTACAATATATATATATATATATATATACTTATACTTATATATATATATATATATATATATACTTATATACTGCGATCAGAAAGTGCCGGAAATTTAAGTTTAATCAACCACATGGGAAAATTATCTTTATTTTTATTATTGCTTTTCTTTCTCGTTAACATAACAATGGCAACGATCTGCACACAAAGACTGCATAAGAAGTGTCACAAAATCCTTTGGAATATTTCGAAAACGAACTTTCGAATCTTTCGAACGAAAATGATTTTACAATTGTTAAAAACTAATCCCATTTTTGGTGCCTTTTTGCCAACAATGTTGATCGATATCTCGTTCATTAAGGCAACAGCACAAAATTGGCTTTGGAAGTCATCGAGGGTGCATGAACAGTTTTGTTATCTGTTGTTATTATCACATCAATCTCTTCATGGGTATGTTTTAATGGTAAAGTTCGCGTCCTTTCCCCCGTTTAATGACGTGACGTGAAAGGAATTTAAATTTATCTTAAGGCCTCTCTCTATATATTCATGAACGGCATTATGATTTCTGACTTGAAAGGAAGTTTCGAAATGTGAGATAAAATTACTCAATGCTCTTGTCGGTAGCGCAAGTAAAATGTGTATTTAAGTTCAAAAAGCCGATTCAATATCGATTTGATATCTATGGCTTGTCAAACTCTCTATCTCTCTCCCTTCAGCTATTATGTTCGCGTCCCTCATACGTTCTTGCCATACGATTGGTACTATTACTTATATACTAAAGGTTTAGAGCGTTTTGCTTAATACCTTTTCCTTGAAGAGTCAAAACTTATTGATGACTGGTTGATGATGATCGTGTGTGGTTTGCAGCGAATAAAAATGTGCAACAAAATTCATTCTCTGACTGTTGTGTTTCACAAGTAGATAAAGGCAAACATTACGTTTTCTTTGCTTTCGCAAATTGATTTTATTCAAAGATAAGATTAGATAAAAAATCAATCAAAAGATAAAATAAAATATAAAATCGATATGATATTAAGCGTTCATATATGTCTGTCCTCTCCAAACTAAAGAAAGAAAAAAAAGATTCTCGATACTTTCCGATAAGATTCCACACACATGAGGACCGAAAAATCAATCATATCTCTCTCTTCTCTTTATCTCTCCCATATATTTTCCCCATTTTCAGTACGAAACTTACTTTTGATGCTTTAAAAACTTTCTATTGTTTTATGTTAAATATTATTTTGAAATGAACTGTTTAGATGGCGAATATGCGGATGCTGTAAATTGCATTTTATAAGGATTTCCATATTCATTTCAATATTAAAGTTTATTTAAAAAAAAAAAAAAGAAAAAAGAAAAGAAAAAATTTCCATAAGCATTTCTTTTGCAGGACAATGTTTAATGCATAGTAATTTCTTATCTCTGACTTTTTCATAATTTTATTCTCTTTCAAATAAGGAATTTTGCCTTTGTGGTTTCTTTTTAAAATACCCATAATTTCAGTTAATGGAAATCAAACACAAACATACACCCATCGTATGTGTTTTATATTTAACTTTATGTATCAATTTGACCGCAATATGTTGGTCTCGAACATACACACAACTCACTCACTCCACAAGCTCTCTTGCATTGATTTCACTTTATTTATTCATTCATATCGAATTTGACATTTTGTGTTGATATGTAACCTCAAAGTTGTGATTTTAGTTTTAACCCTTTTAACATAACCACAATATGCTATACTGAATATACAGGCGTTGCCAA